GAACCAGGAAGCTCTCAATAATGTCCTCAAAAGGTCGATTTAGCCAATTACGTAATTCCCACTCCAGAAATGTCAAATAAGCCTAAACCCCAAGCAGCCACGTCACAAATGGCCACTCGTGTGTGCTTTGCCAACCGTGTCATGTGCACTCGCTGCACTAGTACCGGCCTTCACTGGCCGGGAATCGCGTCTCACTAGACAAGAATCGTGGATGCTGTGTTGCCATGGCACGATAGCCATCAGTACTGGCCTGCCATCGGCCAATACTGTCTGACATGTCATGGATATCAATTCTTTACTGTTTGCATGCATGCCGTGATTAATTACCACTCTTGTGTGCTTTGCTAACCGTGTCATGTGCACTCGCTGCACTAGTACCGGCCTTCACTGGCCGGGAATCACGCCTTATTGAACATGAATCGTGGATGCTGTGTTGCCATGGCATGATAGCCATTAGTACTGGCCTGTATCGGCCAGTATAGTATGACATATATCACGTGCAAAAGGTAACCCCTGTCTTTTAAAGCACAATACGTTGGTGGTGATAGGGACTATCAGCTTCCCTGGGAGCCACACTGCAGACGCGATAAGCCGTGCCTTGCTCAAGATCCGATTGAAGTATGGCCTGCACCCTGTAGTTCTGCGTGACCAAGTCATGACGGAGTCGGAGATGGAAGCGGACCCTGTGCATGCGTTTCAGGACGAGTCGCCGTGCGATCGTGTGGCTCTCACCACGGACTGCGCCTCCAATATGAGTTCAGCAGCCGAGAAAAAGGAGATTTTTGATTGGAACCCGTGCATTTGCCATCTGTTAAATACCGCAGTCAAGGCCGCTTTCCAAAATGTGAAAGAGTTTCAGCAGCTCGTCGAACCACTTCGCGAATTGGCAAGTCATTTTCACAAATCGCCCCTTGCTTGGAAGGTTTTCCGCCGTGTGCAAGAGAAGATGCTAAAGGAGGAAGTGGCCGGCGATGTATCATCAGATGATGAGGAGGAGGATTACTCAGGTGTAAGGGAAGAGGATGATGTTGCTGAGTTGGCCGATGATCCTGATGCAGATCTGACGGTTCCTGACAATGAAATGGAGCAAGCTTGTCCAAAGCGAATATTGCGTCTAGGGACTTGGTGCCCGACGAGGTGGAATAGCATGTATTTTTTGATTAAGAGGGCGGTTTTGTTGGAGAGAAGCATCCGTGAGTATACAGCAAATGCGAGAATTCCTAGGATCATTATACCAGCAGCTGGGTGGTGCATTTTCAAACAAGTGCTGCCAGTCTTGGAGTCCATAAGGGAGTTGTCTGAGCGATGTGAGGGGGACGAGTATATTACCATATCGGATGTCCTCTATAATGTTTTGAAGTTGCTGTACGACCAGCTGTATGTCAGTGACTCCAATGCACATGCAAAACCTGTGTTACTTGAATTCACCTCTGAATTCACAAGAAAACTGTGTGCGGATTGTGATAATGTCAACCTAATATACAATTGGGTACTAGCGGCGGCTGTGGACGGAAGGAGGAATACATTGCACTGGATGAGGAGGATCTGGAACAACACTGACGATTGGCCAAATTTGGTGGAAGAATATGACACCCTGGCAAAGTTCCAAGCGATGTTGAAGAAAGAGATGACGGCATTGGTGAGTTCAGTTCTGATTTGTGGCCTTTGCCTTTGTAAATGTGTGCATCCAACTGTGGATAGTTTTGGCCGGTACCAAGTGTCCTTTGTGCCTTTGCATGCACGACTGTGCCTATTGTGTATTTCGCCTTAAACGGCCGTCTCCTGAGATCACTTGGCTGCATGGGGTGCCTACTTTTATATCTTGCTTGTGTGACTAACAATGTGCATATGACTTCTGCAGTTGAGGCACATGGTGAAGGCGCCCGAAGTCCATTCCTCGGGCTCATCATCCGAAGAGGATGCAGCACAAGCTGTGCAGCAGAGTTGGCTAGACGCGGCATCACCCCCACCTAAGGGACCACTACGTTTCCGACCATCAAGACGGAGAAGACGGGCCCCATGCTCCCCACTGCACATGGACCCAGTGGAGGCCGAAGTCGAAAGGTGGTTTGATTTGAAATGGACACCAGCATGTGAATATAAAAAAAAATGGAGTGTTGGGGACTGGTGGCACGAGAATCACACCAGCTTCCCCTTGGTGGCCATGCTTGCACGTCAAATATTAGCAACACAGGTGAGTGGGTGAGTACAGCTGGCTGTGCATATATACCAAAGTGCCCTTATGTGAAATATGGAGTTGAAAGAAAGGAAAAAACTGAATACCTTTGGTTGTGTTGCAGGTTTCCAACACCAGCAGTGAATGCTCATTTTCCAAGTTTGGTTTTATTGTGATGCCAACTAGCTATGCATATATGCCCCGGAGCCCTTATGAAGTTCACAGGCTGAGAAGTACTGAGTATTTTTGGTTGTGTTGCAGGCCTCCAGCGCCAGTAGTGAACGCTCATTTTCGAAGGCTGGTTTAATTGTGATGGCCAAGCGCATGGTGCTCAGGCCCGAGAACGTGGATCATTTGAGCTTGCTAGGGTGGCAGATGGCAGAGAGTGGATGGTCGCAGCAGAAGCTAGCGCATCGATGCAAGAATGGAGGGAAGGGAGGGAAGGTGCTCAGGCCCGAGAACATGGATCATTTGAGCTTGCTAGGGTGGCAGATGGCAGAGAGTGGATGGTCGCAGCAGAAGCTAGCACAACAACGCAAGAAGGGAGGGAAGGGAGGGAAGGGAGGGAAGGGAGGGAAGGGAGGGAAGGGAGGGAAGGGAGGGAAGGGAGGGAAGGGAGGGAAGGGAGGGAAGGAGGGACTTTGGATTCCAAAGTTTGGATCACCACCGGTGACCACCCTCGTTGCCCCAGCATGGAAACTGTGGAGTACCGCTGCAGTGAGGGTGCGGTACCATAGAGATAGAAGATAAGATATCATGACTTGTAATATTCCATTGTCTTGTGTTGAAGTGCACACCTTGAACACACTATGTTGGAGTGGTGGATGAACTTTGGGTATCATATAGATAGAAGAAAATTTTATTCAAGAAATGCATCCCAACAAGTACTGCGATTGGTGGATAGACTTTACAGTCGCTGCCCTGGCGTGGAAACTTCTGGAGTACCGCCGCAGCGAGGGTGCGATAGGCAGAGATGGAAGATAACAAATCACGACTCGTACTATTCGCTGCACGTTTTCATGTATGTTGAACTATTGAACTTCGACGTACTATGTTGGAATGGTGGATAAACCTGGGGTATCATATAGATAGAAGCGATTTTCTGTGAGAAATGTGTCCAATCGCTAACTGCAATTGGTGGATGGGCTTTACACTCGCTGTCCTGGCGTGGAAACTGTGGAGTACCGCCGCAGCAACCCATCGTAATTCGAGTTGCTGCAAAATGGAAACCCCTTGGCAACTTCGCCTCGACCTTGCCGTGGCTGGAAAGCAAGTACCTATGGGTAATAACAAACCAAAATCATTAATCAACGGATATTTTGATACGGACCGGACGCCGCACACGTAATCCGTTAATTTAACGGTAAATAACGGTGAAGAAAAAGTGAGAGCCGGATTCTGCGGACGGCAGTACGGCAAATAGCGAACCGGATATTACCGGACGAATATCACACTCAGTTTTACGGACCGGACTTAACGGGCCGGATGGCACCCGAGTGTGGCCACCTCTAGCGAATAGCACCAATGCTATTCGGGGGTGCTATTTGGCCTCAAGTGGAGCTATTCGGGCCCAGAGCAACGCCGCTCAGTACTGCTATTAGGGCGCTATTCCCCCCCTCGCCGTTAATAGTGGTTTTTCGATGTGCATCGCTATTCGAATAGCCAAATAGCACCACTGGGACAATAGCACTTACTGATAAAAATGTTCTTAGGGTTGGCACATCACTAGTAAAAAACAAGCCAGATGACACAATCGCAACATAGTTTGCTCAAAATCCAAATGTGTACTTTCGGCAAAGGTGGTCCCAAAAGTACACAGTTAATACACACATTGACACAATTTTAATTGTGCATCCTAAGAAACCGTGTAATCTACACAATTGTTTGAGGGTACATGGTTGAAACTATGTCAATGTGTGTACTAACTATGTAAATGGGACCACATTTGCCGAAAGTGCACAATTGGATTTTGAGCAGACTATGTCAGGGCTGTGTCATCTGGCCTGTTTTTTTCTAGTGCATGAAAGGGGGAAAGGCAGGATGAATGTGGTACATTTGTGTGGGCAATGCACGGTGGGACCAAGGGAACCAAGGGAAATTGGTTGTTCTGAATGAATGGGTGTACTGGGCTTGTGTAGTGGCTGGGGTTGGCGGGAACAGGAGTTGGGAAAGTCCACGCAATCCTAAAAGTGAGTCAGCCGCCTGTGGGAAGGCACAGACCACTGCACAACCTCAGCACAACATGACACAAAGAACACGTTATCCCCCTAAGGATCAGATCCAATACAAAGTCATGAAACGTCGTCTTGAACATGGACACGGAGGTTATGTAGTCTGGCGACGTGCGATTTTCTCTTTTGGCCTATATTTCCCATTGTGGGGGTGCGTCAATCGTGTGAGGGCTCCACACCTGGGTGTCCAAAAATTGGCGCCATCGTGCCTGGGAGCGTGCTGTCCTGGGTCGCCTCCATACAAGGTTACTTTAGCATTAATTAACTTCGTCCAAGCCTGCGAGCATCCCTCATCTGATTCTTTCCATCAGAGAATGTTCGAGACCACAACAGGTTCGTGGCAATTTGGAACCTTTGCAACTCCCATACTGCGCACCAAGACCTGTCCTGGGTGTCCTACAAAGAAATTATCAAAGACAAGCTGCTGAAGAACAGGTTAGGCCTGGCATCACCTGCTGCTAGAGCAGAGGGTATCTTCGACACATACACAAATTTCTCAGCCCTTCTGCATCGGCCAGAAGGGGCCAACCGTTAACTGCTTAAAATCGACAACTGCTACAAAGGTACGCATGTTAACTGCTACACAGGCATTGTCAGTGTTCGCACAAAGAGAACTCCCTCTCGAATAGCTCGGTGGTGGCTTCGTTCACAAAGAATTTGCGCTCCTTCATGAGTTCCTCGCGGTGCCTCTTGGCTTCCTCCAGCCGCACGGGCCAATCCATGGCCTTGCTCACGCGGTCGGTAATGGTCTGCGGGAATATGCCCCTCAGTGCCACTGCGATCTCCATTTTCAGCCAACCGCGCTGTTGCGGTGGCACCGTTGCGGTGGAGAGCACCCGACGACAGGGGTCTACCAGGAAGAAGACCAGGATCTTGCGGTAGCCAGGTTGAGTGGCATCCTGCACAGGGCTCGCAGTGAAATTTGTATGTCAGCCCAAAGGAATCCATCGATAAATTCATATTGATATTTATCATCTTTGCAACCGTCCATCAATATCCCCACAGGAAGTACCGTGTTTATATTCACAGCCTTAATAGTCGCTACCATGGCCAATCAATCAACGTTTGTCTGGTAGTCGTCAATCAGCCTATCAACGTCATCCACGCCTGTGTAGCAATGCCATCCGCCATTCAATCAAATCGACTCCCGCTACCGTTACCAATATTATCATCATCAATTTCGCACCGGTCTTGCTGCTCCGCTCACAAACACTTTGAAACGGCTGTGTATAAATTTAGGAACCGCAGATGTCGCCACTCTTAGCCATAATGCAGTCAAAATGTGCTCAAGATGGTTGATTGAGACCAGTGATAAAAGTTTCGTGAGCAACAAACTCGATTCGATCCAGAGCGCTTCAGCCTATTCATTGAGCATCAATGGTTCCAGCATCAGGGCACCCATCGCTACACCTGAGGGCGCCAGAATCGCAATAATCATGTTGCTTTACTTGAAGATAATATTCGTGACTAATGGCTCCAAAAAATGGGTCACGATGGTATGATTCTCCTGGGCAACGTCTTGTTGCCAGTGCCACACCACCACCACAACAGTTCAATATGACGAAAATGGATACTGCGGCCACGTCCCGGCCTTATAGCCTCAGCATGCAAACATTCTCCCACACTTGCAAGCAAGGGTTCGTGCTTTCCACAGCGTGGTTTGTCATCTCATAGTCCAGCAGGGCGGCACCATGCACATTTCGCACCACAGCCTCCCCACCTTCAGGCAGAACGGCGTCACGCGGTGCTGGAGCATGTTGGGAAACGCCAAACACCGGCCTCCCACTGTGATCACGGACCCCAGGTTTTGGTTCAGCGGGCCCTCGTTCTCCATTCCGTACACCCTCATGACGCCCTCGTCGTCGCATTGCTCGTAGTCGGGCTCGCTCACAGCCTGGCGGAAGGCCAGGCGCGACTCGGCGATGTTGTCCTGGGCGTAATAGAAGATGCCGGTGGCCACGATGGCCTCGTTCTCCATTCCCTCCACGTGCCAGGCGCCTCCCGAGTAGCTCGGCTTGTCCGGCGTCAGGACGATGTTGGCAAGCTTCACGATGACCTGTGGGACGACATATACCAGTGTAAGACGGGCTGCACCGCAGTTGTAGAATGCGTCGTGCGCATAAGCAGCCCACGCACTCCCCATCATTACCCTGCGGGTAGCTGAACAGGACATGTCTGCATTGGCGATGTGCATCAAAGGAACTCAGCAGCAATGCAAGTGCATGGAGCATTGCACCCAAGTCGTACAGGTGAAGCTCGGGATGCACTTGCGACATTGTACCAGGAATAGCGTATGATGTAATTTGCTATACATCAGCTGTGAGAATATCACTGAACCGCTACTGCAGTTTCATGAGGCCGAACACCATTCACAAGTCTGTCAACATCGAGGTAAATGACCAATTCGAAAGTAGCCCCCGAGAGACATTTTCGTCAGTGCGCCATACTGATCAGCCAGAAACGCGACGGATGAGTTGGATTAGAATCCAAGTCAAACACAGAACTGTGCTTGCACGCGTAAACAAATGTTCTGAGCGCGGGGCATCCTGTGTCCGTCGACGGAGTTTTATGCTTTGCTTCGTTGTGGTCCCTGATAAGGATGCTTAGTTGGCACTCGCCAACGCTGCACTACGGTAGCTTGAACGGAAAGGGCAATGCCCGGTCCATTAGCATGGCCCCAGTTTTTGCGGATCCACTGAAATTCACCTTACCACGCTTCACTTTACTGCAGCCTTGTAACAGCAGAAACAAATGTTGAACATTTGGACACTGTAGTTTAGCAAATTGTGCATTGGAGCAGCGAACCTTAATCTTCGCCTATACGTTGTAAACATATCCCATTTTCGTCAGCGTTGAGTTCAGCGCTACAAGCATAGCGCTTCTTGCATCGTTTCAAGGCAATGTGACTTCTATTGTCTGGAGAATATTACGGACAGAAGACACAAATAAATGTGCTTTGACAACCCTTCGGTGTGTACTTTTGGCCCGTTCTTCCATGTTCATTCACAGTGTGCTTTGGGGGGCATCGCAACCCATTTTTCGAGATCCCCAAGGCCTTAAGTATATGCAATTGTTACACAGTTCATGGAGCAAAATATACTACGCATCAAAATCCAGGTAGTGTTTCATCTAGCGCTGGATTGTGCCGCATCCGTCGGAGTCACCAGGTCCTTGGGGGACACATGTTTTCAACCATGGGCTAGCAGAATACACTCAAGAGCCTTCCTGACAGTTTTAAAATTCTTTGTTAATGCGAAAATACTCAAAAATGAATCGACAATCGACGTGAATCCGCTGTCTGCACATTCATCTTTAGGCCAGCCAAAGCATTTCAGGTGCTCTGTCATTCAGCCGTCTTCTAGCTCGCCACGAACGGCGTGTCTTGTGTCTTGAAAATCTTCATGCTTGAGGAATCTTCCCAGCTGTGCCCCAATGGCGTCCCAGTAAGCGTCATTATAGTCAATTCGCGTCCCAGAAATGGCCATTTCCACTAGTGCAGTCAGTCTTATGTCCTAAACTGCACGTGCTCCTTCCCGATCGGGACGCCGATGCAATTTGCAGCTATGCTTGTGAATCATTTGTGCATGCAAGTTCGCTTCCCACCTGTAACTTGCGTCCATGGAGGTTGACAGACTGTTCAGGCGCATCCGGTGCTTTGAAGGCAGGAACAGGGGGGACTTCACTGTAGTCGCAACTGCAGAATAGAAAATGCTTTTCGACTGTCAGCTCATGGTTCTTGGAGTATTTTAGTATGGGGAACATCAGCGGGCTATTTATCAATCGAACGCTCTGTTGTGACTCCATCATTCTTGCGGGTCTCTGCATCTCGTTGAAGTTAGGCAGTGTTCGAATTGACGTTGGCTCATCGAAATTATGTTGGGTGCTATGGATAAGGTCAGGTTGGTTCCAACATGAAATGGATGCCGGTTTCAAGTGCTTTGTATGTACATAAGGTCCCTATCATGTGGTTCACTCGTGGGTTGGTCAAATCGACTGGAGAGGCAGAAACCAGGATATCTAAGGCAGGCTGTGTACGGTAGCTGTATTTGAATGACGAGGTGGGAGGTGACTCAAACTTCGAATGGGCGTTTGTAACAGATGAGGTATTACGAAAGGAATAGGCAGACCCAAAATGTTCGGGCTAGTGGCCACCGCCTTCCAAACTTTGTGCCACTCAGAGGGCTCGAATTAAAAGTTGCGGAAACCCTGCTTGGATGTGGGCTGTCTTGGGGGGCGCTGGAAACGCAGCAACATGCGATAGCTAAATGCGTATGAGCATTCCACGGAGCACTTAACCTGCACTCAGACGGCACTCTCCCACGTTCTGATAATACTGCCACTGATTCTGGTATTACCGGACTCCGCTTGTCGACGATTCGTGTTTGTCAATTACCCTGTTCCATACTTCGAAACATGCATTTGGCATGTCACTTTTTGCATGCTAAACTTCGCATGGGGACTTTCTATGCCACAACCCTATGTTATACACAAGTAGCAGCATTTGAACACGGCGCAACTACTATGTTGATATGTTCAATGTAGTCAGGGCAAGCACTATTTCGATTTTGATACGCTTAGCCACAATGTGACGTTAAGCTCAGAACCTCCCTTTTCCCCCCCTCGTTAGCTTCAATCCTTATTTCGATGCCAGGATGACTCAGCAACATCAGCAAACAGTGCCATACAATTTCAACACAGTTTTAAGTAAAAAAGAGCCAAATTTGTAGCGGTTGCGGCAATTCGAAAAATGGCATGCCAAAAGCGATGATAAGCGATGAGAACAACCCAAAACCCTTAAATTGATCCATTCTAAGGAATACCTGGATGATTGAAAGTTTGAGGGAGGTTTTGCAGCAAGTCATGAGCTATTTGCCGCTGGTCAGTGGCGTTTTTCTGCATCTTCTCACATCAGTTTTATTTCAGTGCAATTAAATAATCTCTTAGCGCCAATGGCTGCCCCACCCCTTCCTTAACGTCACTTTGACGTCAAGCGTACCAAAATCAATATAATGTCTTCCCTAAAATAAAAGAAAAAAGTTTGCCCCTGACAGCAGCACACCCTTTCATATACATTGTACCTGTTATGCATGATACATGCACCGTGTCAGCATGCGCGTGTGCAAGCATCAGCAACTCAATGTTTGCTAAAGTTCAATTATGCAATTAAAGATTTCATCTCGCCATCATTACTTAATTGTATTCTCTCAAAACCTTGCCCATATGTGGGCAGAGTTTTGTGAGAATACAATGTATATGTATTGGCGTATGATACCTCTGCGGCACCACCCGTAGCAGCCTGGGGCTCAGCGCGTCCGTAAGCACCCTCTCAAACAGAGGCACGAACTTTCCGAAGATGGCCCCGATCGTGCGGTACAGCCCTGGGTGCAGCAGGGGGTGCAAGTTGTTGATGTAGCTCTCGATGGCCACGCTCCCATCGTGCAGGACCGCGAACTCCGCTGGCAACCACTGGTAGGCTTTGGACCTGCCTTGTGGCAGGCTATGCCAGCCGCCCCTCAAATCCCAATTGGGTCGATTGTCGATGGCCTGCACTTCTCCGGTGCCCACAAATTTGTCCCAAGGTTCGGGAATCTCCGTCTGGCGAGAGACGCCAGCCACGAAGGGGAACAGGCTGGGGTGGACGAGGTCGAGCACCTGCGGAAGTATTGAAAATTGCACACGCCTGCAAAGCGCTGCCCTCCCTTCCCCAGTGGCAGGCTTGGTCTTTTTGTTTACATTCTATACTGTGAAAACACCCAGGTTACAGGATGAAGCCACATGCAGTGATCATACGAATGATCAGTCCTCCGCTCCCTCGAGCGCCCACAACACAGCGTCCACCTCGCCCTCGGAAAGGGCAACGACGTCGTCGATCAAAAGGTCGTTCTTGTGCTTGGCGGATGGCAAGAACACTCCTTGGCGCCCCATTGGCGATCGAAGGGGACAGTCGGGCACTGAATGACCAAGCACCTCTATTTACACGGGCGGGTGTGTGCGCCTGTATTTACGTATTTTTTTGGCCTCTTTACTCGTAGAACCGTATTTACGCCGTAAATACCAAGCCTGCCCAGTGGGAGAAACGATACTTTGCCCAGTTGCCAGGCTGTTCCATATACGAATACTGAGCTCCTGCTGCCGAGGTGAGGAGTATTGGATTTCTCTGGCTGATTTCCGAGTGGTCGACGCGACCCCTGGGCTCCAGGGCCCAGCAAACGAGCGACGATGAACGGCATGCCATCGAACACAATTCGGTGAATGAAAAAGCAGGCAAAAGGCGTTCAGCACGGAACCAAGCCCACAAAGCATTGTGCAGGGCGTCTCTCCCAACCCCCGAGCACCCGCGGCCAACGCGCCTTCGCGGACAGAGCCGCACGCCCCGCGGAACTGCGTGCCGATCGATCGCACCTGGTTGTCCGACCCCGGGTGCCAGTCCCTGGCCTCCTCCGGCACGTCCTCCAACTTGGCGACCCCAGACAGAAGATCGGCCGTCAGGTCGCCGTCGACGATGCCGTCCGCCTGCCAGACGCCATCCACCACAGCCGGCTCGATCGGCCCCTGCCTCAGCGACGCCAGGTGGCGCAGCTCGTCCAGGACGAAGTCCACAGCCTCCTCCTCCGCTCCCTGCTCCGCGGCCTCCCGTCGCCACCGCTGGACCACCTGGCCGCGCCAAAAATGTCCGTTCGTCATGCCCAAAGCCAAAAGTCCGCACGGGGCGCCCCTCGCCAGGAAGATGGCAGGACACACGCTCGGCAGGGTGGGTTGCCTTTCCGAGCCGTTGGGTGGCTCGCGGGTTTTCGGATCGATGGTTTTGAAGCACTCCAAGAGGTCGGATTGTGATCTTGGGGGATGCACAAGCGAACCCCAAAAATGTCCGCCCCTCGGAAGAAACGACCGCGACCAAACAACTTGACCCCTGGACCGGTGGATGTCTTGCGGGAAAAATGGCGCCACCGCGCCCCGGGGAACGGGGAGATCTCAGTTCTGAGGCGGTGTGCCACTCTTGTTGCGGACGAGAACCTGGCCCCTGGAATGCAGATTGGATGCGCACTCCCCTAACCGCCTTCCAGTGCTGTGCCTTGGTCCACACGGCACAGGCGCGGCGCCACTGCGACCCTGCTCACCCCGGCGTCATCCAACTTGTCCGCCCACCGCTCCTTGCGCATGATGGACGCCCGCAGCCTGAGCAGGTCCACTTCTACGAGCGTCATGGGTTCCCTAGGACAGCCGGGGTAGGCATTGTCCTCCTGGGACAGCGTGAAGACGGTGGGGAAGACGAAGCCCATGTCGTCGTTGCTGCGCGGCAGATTCGCGGACTTTCCACCGGGAGCCTCCATGTCTGCGGATGGGCGCCCAGGGCGCGACGGAGCGGCACGATGAGGACCCTTTCAAGGCTGGCACACGCGGGGGGCTGGGTGTCCTTGGGAGGTGAAGGTGGGATGAATGGGGGACAGTCGTGCCAACATGGATTCCCCAGGGTTAGTAACAATTTGGCACAAGACATTCTGCCACAGGAATCGCAACTGTGGCGATTTTCTAAGTACCCCTACTGAGATGACCAGTTTGAGGTTGTGTGCTATTAGTTACAGTCGGGGTCCCTATATAGCGCCCCCCCCCCCTGACATGGCCACAAGGGGGGCGCTACTTGGCCCGGGGCGCTATTGGGTCAACTTTGTTTTAATGCATTTAATTGTAGTTTTAATCAATACGGCCTCATGTAATAACCTGCTGGCGCTGTGGCGGCGCCTAGCAACGCCGTCAAGTGGCAATGCGCCGGCGCAACAGCGTGGCAGTGTGGCAGTGTGGAAGCATGGAGGTGTGGCAGCGTGGCAGGGTGACAGCGTGGCGGGGTGGCAGTGTGGCAGGGTGGTAGCATGGTGGCGTGGTGGCGTGGCAACGTGGCAGCACAACAGTATGACGGCATTGCTGTGATCATCGCGGGTGAGCAATGGCTGCACAACTGGTGTGCCCAGTCTGCCGAATCAATGCTGGGTTGAGTGGCGTTCATAGTTACCTTGGCTGCAATGTCCCTATGCATGCATGGTGCGGATCCTGCTCATGTGGCAAGGATTTGCAAGGGGGAGGCTGTTGTTTGAGGCGCTATTGCACAAATTGTCAGCCAGTGAGAGTATCAAAGCGCCCAGTGCGGAGATTTGTAGTGATGCCCAAGCAACCAATGAAGAGCTTTTTTGATGATGATGAGGGTGACTATGATGATGGAAGCCCTGTGACCCAGTTTTCATGGAAGACAGAACTTCTAGCAGTGATGGGGATTCCGGCCGTGACATGGAGATAGATTTGTCTAATGATGACGAGAGGGAAAGGGCAGAAGCTGGAGCACACGAACATGGTGGGTTGCATTCAGATGTCTCTGCAAATGCGGCGATGGTTGCTCTCCCTGATGCAGATCCAGCTGGTGGAAGTCCTGGTATCAAGATTTGCAAGAAAAAAGTGCAGGCACGTGCGCCACAAAGGACCAGGTTGACTTTGGAGAAGAAAGTTGAAGTGTATCGGGTTGCACTCAATTTCGAAGGCCAGGGCGGTAAGGCCAAACTTGTAGAAATGTTTAACATTTCTGTGACATGCTTGAAGAATATCAAAAGGCAAGGTCCTATATTGGTTAAAAAATTGGAACAAAGCAATGTCAGAAGCACCAGCAAGGCATTCAAGAAAACTTCTTTGCCTGATATTGAGGGTGGGGTGATACAGTACTTTGAGCTTGCTCGAAAGCATGGGATGCCAGTGACAAGGAGGTCGCTCAGGTCCATGGGCATTGCAGTGAAGGAAAAACTTTTTGCTGTGGGTGGGCTGAAAGAACATGCACGTGTGGTATTGGAGACTTTTTCTGCATCAAACAAATGGGCACGGAATGTGATCAAGCGAAATGGACTTCAAAGCATCAGTTTGCATGGCGAAGCTGGCTCTGTTAACCATGGCGATATTGCACTCCAGATGAATGAAATGAGCGCAAAAATCAGTGATTATGAGCCAGCCCATATCTTCAATGTAAATGAAACAACCTTATTCTACAAGCTGATGCCACGTTGTACATACATCACCAGTGCGGAAGGGTGCAAAACTACACGTGGCACAAAGAACATGGGCAACAAATATCGTTTGACAGCGATGTTGTGTGCCAACACTGATGGGTCTATCAAAGTCCCCGTTGCCATTATGGGGGCAGCTGTCAACCCTAGATGCTTCCGCTTGATGCCATGTCTAATTTACTACATGCATCAAAAGAAGGCATGGAGTGACAAAAGGACATGTCGAGAATAGTTTTGGAAGGTGTTTGTCCCTTGTGTGACAGCTCAACTTCCCTCCACAACAAAAATTGCTTTGATTGTGGACAATTTTAGTGCGCATGATGATGACACAATATTCCACCCAAGGTGCAACGTGGATGTCATGGCTTTGCGGCCAAATTGCACTTCTGTACACCAGCCAATGGATGCTGGAGTTATTCGGGCTTTCAAAGCACATTATCACCAAAAATTGTTGTCAAGAGTCTTGGAGGTGCTGCCGCACAAGCTGGAATTGAGGCAAGCAAAGTCAAGAATCGCCATAGGGTTGAAGGGCATTGCTGAAGGGTATGATGCCCATGTACTTGATGCTGCTCACTTTATGAAAAGTGCATGGGACAGCGTCACAACACAATGCATTGCACGATGCTGGTTGAAAGCTTATATTCTTCCAAGGACCATGGCTGCAGAAATGCGGAATGTGTGTTCCAAGACACATGGCCAAGGTACCTTGGGAAGTGAAATTGATGATTGTGCCCTCATCATTGTTGGTATGCAAGCCATGGCTATGTCAGCCATAAATCAAGAGATTGGGGAAGAAGACAGAGATTCTGTGAAGATTCAACTAGCTTTTGTGCAAAATGTTGGTAAGGTCCGAAAGGGTGCACTTGTGTGCAACATTGCGATTATGGGTTTTCTGGGCAAAACGGTTGTGCTCAAGATTGGCCGTCAGAAGACAAGGAAATTTGTGCACAAAATTGCCATTTGTTTGCTTATGTTTGCTTGTGTTTGTGCGCGCGGCGCGCGCATAGGTTGTCCTCCTTCGTGGTCTCCTACGCCCTTTTTTCATCAACTACGTGGTTCTGGAATGTTCTCTCCTAACGGATTCCACTGTGACCACGATAGTATTCCCCAATTCAAGCGGGAAATGCTTGTGGTGCACAGGTGGATCCCTGGCAGATGGCGGGGCAAGGCCATGTTGCACCCACGACTTGTGGGTCACATGGATTGATTGTAAGGTGGTTGTAGGCGTCCTTGGCCGGCACCAAGTTAATTTTTTTTGTGCGAAACATTGTGGTTTTCCTGTCCATTGAGTGACCCACAAAATGCCCTGTTTGTGTGTAAGTTCATTGTTGTGGTGTGTTTCTTGCATTTTGCTCATGCGCAAAATGCATATTTTGTTGTTTTCCGTGACCCCCTTACCGACATTTTGCACGAAAGTTAGTTATTCTTCAAGCTATTGATGGTGTGGAAGCATGGGTGTCCATTGAGGATAACGAAGACGTATCAGAAGCGGTGACTGAAGATGCTTTCCATGAGTTGAAAGAGGAGCTGGCAGTCATAGAAAAAACAGCTGAAGAGAGCGATAAGATGGCTCTAGAATATGTGAAAGACACAAATGATGCACACCATGAAGCATGAGATGGGCGATTTCAGTTGCCTACATATCTAGAAATAGCAAGTCATTTTGTTGTCCTCGAAGATCTTGCTACTAAAGCAGGTTTGGATGTGGCAGCGGGTTTTTTGTACAAGGCCAAGCAAGAGTTTCTTAAGCATGCAAATGCTGAGAATCAGATACAAACGCAGTTGAACGATTTTTTCAAACATTCAGAGGACCGTGTGTAGAGGGCTTGTATTTTGGTTTGTGAGATGTTTGTTGAACTATAACCAGAAGTTGCTTTTGTGTAGTTTTCTGGACTTATTTTTGATCAAATGATTTTTTGTTGGGCACCTAGAGCACTCTGATCATAGCATGTAATGAATCTTGTGCTGCATTGAAAAGTTGAAATCTCACGATACATTGTGTAGCAGCGTTTGTTTGTTCATGGGCGACCACATACATACGTACTGGTGGGACGTCTATGCATCCGAGTGCTTGCATCATTGAAAGTAGCGCATCACACAATGAGCACGCTTCACCGTTCCCCACCCATGTGGCAGGTCGCCCAGAGCCAGGGACACCCCCGTGTGCAAGTTGCATGGCTTAGAGTAGTAGGCAACATGGCCGAATGCCAACGGTCAATAATGGTTGCGCGGCGCTTAAGAACTAGGCATGAAAGTCACAACAAAAAGGTGGGAGTGGGAGGCCAAACGTGACCTCACACTCTCGCCATTGCTACTCCCCCTTGGTGCCGAATGGTACCACCCACGGTTACCTTGATTGACACCTAGGAGTGCTATCAATCGGCCTTGACTTGGATATCAGGTGCTGCCGCCTACCAATCTTGAGAGGCAAGGGCAAGGTTTGCACAGAATGCTCGTTTGTGAGATGGCCTCTACTGGCCCTGGACTCTGCGGCAATTTGCACATTAAGACGTGGACACGGGAGCATTGGGCACCCCTCCCTATCCCTCCATTCCACTGGCCGCAAGGAGCCCAAGCGGGCAGTGCCCACTTCGTCATGCATAAATGAAAATCTGCCATGGAACACACAGCTCCCCTGACCTCCTAGGAAGGCCTTGGGCCCGGGCCCCACAGCGGACACACTAGATGTGCCGCCCGCCCATCCATGATATGCCAAGTTCGCAGAAACGGACAGCCACCGCACTATCCATCCACCGGACACCTCTCTTGGGTGTGTTGGATTGTCCGCAATAGTAGCTTGAGGCCCCACTGTGCAGCGAAGTTGTATAAAGTACTACAAAAATGGTGACAAGCCCAAGAAGGGGGCGCTATTGGGGGCCGGGGGCGCTATTAGGGGGGCGCTATATAGGGACCCTGACTGTATTTGATTGGTCGATCTGATCTGTGGCAACCTTATTTGAGTTGCTGAGCACAGCCCACAATTAGTGAAATAAAGGCATACTTATTGTCCTGTTCCATTGCATTGTCCATGAGTCCACCCGAAGAGAGGTGCCCTTGCCGCAAGCCCCAATGTACGGCCCCCTTACATGAAGATAAGCCGGGAATGGAGCCCTAAGCCGGGAATAGAGCCTTGAGCCAGGAGTGGAGAACTGACCAGAGAATTCATCATCAGTAAGCCATTTTAGTTGTGTATGTTCGTTTTGATGCAGTGTCGAGGCTGGAACTAAGGAATGTACCAGCGGGTATTACGACTTCATCGTGTTTTACTATATGATTGATTTGAGTACTGG